GTCATTTTAATTGATCAAAGAACTTGAAAACAAACAATCCTCCGAAAGAGGTAGCAGATTTTGTATGATGTGGATTGATGAGATTTGAAAAAAATTACTTGCATTAGGTGCTGGAGTGGTGTTATCTGTGTTTACCATCTTTGATATCCGTGTTTTGAAAATGAATTTGAGTGAAGTGTTGGTGTTAGTGTTGATGAATGAAGTGAGTGGCATTTAATCGATCGGGGTTTCCTAAAACGAAGTCAACAAACACCTGTTGAAAATTGAATTAGTAGGATTATTGAATCATCCTGCAAGTTTTGAAACCGAATGCCCAATTCCAGTGAAGCTTCTTTCTTGATCGGTGAAGTGAATTTGGTGATGAGTAGGTCGTGAGATTAGCAGTTGATGATCTGATTAAAGGCGCGAAAGTAAATGAAACCAAACTTCCCGAATCAACATCAAGTAATACACCAGAGAGATTGAAATGCGAGTCTCTTTGAGTCAATTTTGTTAGGGATTGTTTGAATTGAGTTTGAGTTTGATTGAATGAAATAAATAAAATCACTAATTTCAGTTGGTCTTTTGATATACTGTAGTGGGTTTGTAGAAGAAGAGAAGAGGATACAATTCGATTCTAGCGAAGTTGATCCAAATCAATCGCATAGAGCGGTTTAGGCGAATCACCAATACTAATTAGTGAATGTTGTTACGACATTGATAATACACGGATATGGATTTATCGGAGGTAAAAGGAGTACATACAATACATGATAGGCGCTAATCATTGGGTTATAATATGTGAGTTAGTTTTCTTAGCTTTAGCATCATTGCCTTCAATTTCAGAATGAGCCCGCTTGGTGGGTGCTATGGTCGGAGAATCGCTTGCCGAAGTGCAGTGGCTGTGTTGACATGAGTTTGAGGTGGATTATGTGAGTATTGGCTAACCAAGGAAGTCCCGCACAATGAAGAATCAAGTTGGCCTTTGTGATGACTGGGAGTGCATTCAAGGTTCATTAGCTTGAAAAATTGTCGGGGTTTACGCTGATAAAATGAGAAATTACAGAGACCTACTTACCAATTGGATTGTCGAGTCGATATGAGTTGTTGCGAGTACCATGAGGTAGTACTCCGGAGATTGAAGGTTGGCTGATGGTTTCACAATTTGATGTTGGTGGATTTTCAGTCAGTATTAGCTAGATAAAGGCAGTCAAATGATCAGTGTGGATCATCAAATATAAAGGACAAAATGGATTTACCGTTACGGAATGTCCAAATACGCCTGATATGCAAAGAGGATGAGTTGTGGAGGTAGATAATTTGACCATTGCATTGGGAGTGAACAATGAAAAAGATTTACAGAAGCAATTAGTTTCATATGGAGATAATAAAAAGTAATACATATGTAGAACATTTTGAAATGAAACCCTCGGGTGCAAGGGCAGGAGGAAGGAAATGAACGTACGGTTGATGGAAATCTAGAGATTGGATATCAGCAAGTGTGACGTAAGACACTTGATAAAGACTTTGTGAATGAGGATAACCATCGAGTAAATTATACACAACACAAGGGATTGAAGAACTAAAATCATAAGGTATCCAATCGCGGTATCACAGTAGTGTAGGTACAGATAAACTAATTTGTGGTTGACGTTTATCTTGTAAATAATAGCGGTGTACAAACCTACGACCCAACTTGAAAACCCATGAGAAAAACCCATGAAAACCCAACTTGTTTTTGGGTTTTTTTGACGGGTTTTTTTGATGGGTTGCCCTCAAAAGGTTTGAACACCCCAGCCCCCATCACAACCTAAAACAGTATTTGGTTGATCGATTAAGGTAAAAAAATGAAACTATTTGATAATCCAATAATGGAGCTGTGGATGATAAAACATTATCACCTATTCCTAGTATCACTTCTTCACGAGGAAAATGATAAATTGAAAAGTTGAACGATATGAAGAAGAAGTTGACCGAGATCGAATTTATAATAATGATGAACTTGTTGATCAAATCAAATCTAATTGTGTTATATCTTTTACATAAAAAGGTTTTTGCAGCTTGGCTTTCATCTTGGAGATTGTGATGTTTTCTTTTGTGGCCAATTCGGTAGCTCG